ATGAAAAAAAATTTAAAACATAAAAAAAAAAAAAGAATCCAGGAAGACCCTGAAGGGATATGGTCCAAAGTCTTGAGCCTAAATGATCCTGTGTCTTGCCTTTGAAGCAGATTTCTAGCTGTCTGATGCCTATTGTGAGGATAAATGGATCCTGATTTGGATTACTGTCTTATCTGCCTCAAGTGAAACTTCCCAGGAAGGTGATATTCTAGTATCTAAAAGATACAAAGATAAGCCTTCCTCAAGCCTGCAGAATGAATGAATTATTCCATGCATTTAAAAGTTTATTTAATAAATATATTCATATGTGGTAAAATTTTATATGAGCTTACTTTCACTATAATGAGGAAGAAAGGTTGTAGGGAAATAGCTCATTCTTGTTCATCTCAAGTATTTTGATGGCTATAATTACTTACTGAAAAGAGTTGTGCACGACCAAATTGGCAAAGGTAGTGTGCAGTGTTAGGTTTGTGCTAAGTCATGGGGATATATAGTATATGACTTAAGAGCTGCCTGCAAAGAACTAATAGTCCAGCAATAAAAATAAATATATTAATAAAAAAATAAAATAAAATAAACACAATCACATCCATTAGTTTACAAATTGTCTATAACACTACAGGGGCAATGTTGAGTAATTTCCAAAAAGACCATATGGCTTGCAAAACAATAATAGTTACCATCTGTTGTTTTTCTTTCTTTTTTTTTTATAGAAAGTTTGCCAGCCCCTCTCTACCTCAGTGTTTCAGATTTTGTACTGGTAATGGACACCATTTCCACCATGAATGCACTCATCATGCTTACTGAGTATACGTTCCATAATTCTTGTGTCCTACTGTTGCTGATACAGCCACAATCAGAGCTGGGACCCCGTAGCCTACAGGGTACATGAACCTCTTCTTGAATCTGCCTGTGCTGGTGTAGTTGGCCACCTTGAGGTTCCTGACAGTGAGGAAGAGGTGTAGCCCTTCGAGGAACATCCAGGTGAAGGCGGCCAAGTAGAGGTAATGCAGTACACCTGCAATGACCTTGCACAGCACCTGGAGGGGAGAGTAGAGTTAAGAACATGGAGCTGATGTGAGCTGTACCTGAGTATATCCTTGCCTGCATGCATGCCAAGTTGCTTCAGTCGTGTACAACTCTTTGCGACCCCATGGACTGTAGCCCACCAGGCTCCTCTGTCCATGGGATTCTCCAGGCAAGAATACTGGAGTGGGTTGCCATGCCCTCTTCCAGGGGCTCTTCCCCACCCAGGGATCAAACCTGCACCTCTTATGTCTCTTGCATTGGTAGGCAGGTTCTTTACCACTAGCACCACCTGGGAAGTCAAATTATATCCTTAGCACTTATTATTTCCTGCATGCTAGCCTGGAATTTCAGTTCTTACACCTGTGCCATTTTGCTTAGGGGTAACAAATCTTCTAGGGACTTTCACCAACCATTGATCTCTGCCTATCTCGTGCATGGGGCAAGTCAGAAGTGCCAAGAAATGAATGCCATGGGTGAAAAGTGAAAGTGTTAGTCATTCAGTCGGATCTGGCTCTTTGTGACTTCATCAACTGTAGCCTGCAAGGCTCCTCAGTCCATGGAATTCTCCAGGCAAGAATACTGGATTGGTAGCCATGCTCTTCTCCAGAAGATCTTTCCAACCCAAGGATTGAACCTGGGTCTGCTGTATTGCAGGCATATTCTTTACAATCTGAGCCACTGTGGAAGCAGCACTCAAATCCATAATAGACAAGAGTTAGCAAATCAATACTCCATTGACCTTGCCCTTTGGGGGAATGTGATGGTTAATTTTATGTTTCAGCTTGACTGGGCTAGGGCATGTCCAGATAACTGATAACGCATGATTTCTGGGCATGTCTGTGAGGATATGTCTGGAAGATATTAGCATCAAAATCAATAGACTGAGTAACAAAGATGGCCCTCACCAATGAGGACTGGCATCATCCAATTTGTCAAGGGCCTGAATAGAACAGAAAGTTGGAGAAAGGAAGAATTTGCTCTCTCTGCTTGAACTGGGACATCCATCTTCTGTAGCTCTCAGACATCAAAGGTCGTGGTTCCAATAAATTTTATTTATGAAATGTATGGCAGAAACCAGCAAAGTCACATCCACCAATATGCCAAGCATCCATCCACCCTCAGTTTATCACTAGGACTGGACTTACCAAGCAGAGACTACATTTCCCAGCACCCCTTGCAGTTAGTTTGACCATGTGACTGGATTCTAGCCAGTGGGATTTGTGAGGTCCATATAAACCCCTCTCCTAGGACTCCACCATGCTCTTTCTCTTTCCACTTGGTCAAAATGGAAAGAATCGCAGGATGACCTTGGAAGCTGTGTTATGGAAGATGAGAGCATCTCCCATGGCCTGAGGTTGGAGGAGAGATACCCTTTACACCTGTTCACTCACCCTCTACTGACCCACAGGGGAAAATGAACTACTCTTGTGAAAAACCACTGATATTTTATAGTTTATTTGCTGCAGTAGCTATTGTAACCCTAACTAACACCATCAGTCTGACACTCAAACATTTTGCTAAATAACCCCTCAGAAATTATAGTCATTGGTACAGCACTGTAAGTCAACTATACTTCAATAAGAAAAATAAAATTTTTAAAAAGAAATTATGTGTCATGTTCAAAATTATACAGAGAGATGAAATGGGAACTCTTGCTTTTTACCCTACACAATCATTGGTGTTTATCATCATTCATCCCATCTTTCCTCCAAACTAAGTGGCTAGATTGGATTAGGACCATGAAATAAATAATACGTTAATTGACCTACCTCAGGTTCAGTTTGATCAATCCCCACGAGGAAGAGGAGGTGGGCCAGGAAGAGGCAGATGGAGAGCTGCAGGTGGAGCGAGGTGCTGGTGTTTCGGATGGATCGACACAGGAGGAAGGTGAGGGCCGCTAGGAGGAGGCAGAGCAGAGAGAGGCTCAGCCCCACATAGGTGATCATGGTCAGCACGGGATCATCCTAGGAGACACCAAAGGAGGAATCTATTATTCCAGCTCTATATGTATGTTCCTGATGGAGCATCAGATGGGCTTTTTAGTTCAGCTCCCAAAGAAATGACTTGATCTCTCTGAGACTTGGTGATTCCCTCTTCAAAATACGGGCAGTTATAGCATTTATCACACAGAGCTAGACCAGCACTGACAAATAGAAACAGATGAGCCATGTGCACAATTTAAAATTTTCTAGTAGCCATGTTTTTGAAAATGTCAAAAGAAACAAGTCACATTGATTTAATAGGACACATTCAAAATACTGGGCTTCCCATGTGGTGCGAGTGGTAAAGAACCTGCCTGCCAGTTCAGGAGATGTAACAAGCAGGTTTGATCGCTGGGTCAGGAAGATCCCCTGGAGACAGGCATGGTAACCCACTCAAGTATTCTTGCCTGGAGAATCCCATAGTCAGAGGAGCCTGGTGGGCTATAGTCCACAGGCTACACTCACAAAGAATCGGACACGACTGAAGCAATTTAGCACTCTTGTACACATGTTCAAAATACTATCAGTTCAATGTGTTGAATGTCATATAATTAATATAATGATATAACAAAATATAATCAGTTCAAATTATTCTCAGTGTAAAAGTTATTAATGAAATAGTTGGTACTTTTTCCTCCATATTCAGTCTTTGAAATCCAGTGTGTACTTTACACTTACCAAGCATCTCAATCAAATACTATATTTTAAAGAGTGAAAGTAAAGCATGGTCCTACCAAACAACAAAGTTGTATTTAGTGGAAAAGTATTTTATACTATTTCTAAATTTAAATACATTCAAATGGAATAGAATTTGTTTCTTCAGTCACAGCAGTCACATTTTAAGTGTTCAATAACCACGAGTGGCGATCCTATTGGACAAGACAGCAATAAAAAATAATCTCATGAAGGCTGTCTTGTTCTCTGTAGTATCCACAATGCCTGGAATGGCATCAGGCGTATAGTAGTTTACTCAAATTCATGCCCATTGAGTTGGTTAGATAGTATCACTGACTATGAATGGACATGAATTTGAGCAAACTCCAGGAGGACAGAGGAGCCTGACGCACTATAGTGCGTGGGGTCTCAAAGAGTCAGACACGACTTAGTAACTGAACAACAAAGGCAGTTATATACAAACCTGTTAAATGAACAAAATGAGGTTATGCATTTACATAAGAAATATGGTGCTATCTTCCAGTCAATGCTCAATAAATGGGAGTTTAAAATAAATGGGGAAACAAGTTAGGTCAATTTCTTTAAATCTGAGTTATCTGAGATGTGGTTGGCACCTGGAAAGTTTAGGGGGCTATGCTTTTACACGGGCGATGGCCAGTTGCCTTTGTTCTGGCGATGGGGGTTAGCTCTATTTCTCGCAGAGTAACAGGTCTCCATGGGCCTTTCCACCACAGGGGCTAACAACCGACTTTTCAATGACTGAGGGCTTTCTCTGCTAGCTTGGGCACACTCTGCCCATGCGCATGGACATGTCAAGAGAATGAATACCCCCTGGATGTTGTTGTTATTCAGTTGCTAAGTCTTGTCTGACTCTTTGCAACACCATAGATTGCAGCACGCCAGTCTCCTGTGTCTTCTGCTATCTCCCAGAATTTGCTCAAATTCATATCCATTGAGTCGGTGATGTAGCTTTCAACAAATGACTGAAGGGAGGTGGTGTATAAGTAACCCAGCTTTCTCTCCATTCCGTTTGGATGACTCTGAGGTGTGTCTCCTACACTCACTCCAAAAATCTCCCAGAGAGAAGTAAGCCCAGTTACTCATAGTGGTACCTGGTATCTGGCTTCTCTGATTGGCTTCTGTCTCATTCCCACTTCATTTCCCAGTTCTTTACTGATGCTTCCTGGAATTAACTCTCAAGTAATCTACTTCCGCTTGACTCCTTATCTCAGAGTTGCTTTTTTTCCCCACTGAGACTCAGAGAGCCTTCCCGGACACGATCCAGCTCACTGTAAGGGACCACAATTGTTGTACCTTGGGAACAAGAGCCATGAGGACAGCAAAGCTGGAAAGGTGGGAGCACTTGCATTGGGTGTGAGAATCGTTGCTGCCCAAGTGAGCACAGCCCTCCGTCGACCAGCTGCCCCCATCCTTGGATCCTTTCCAGTAGACACAGAAATATTTTCTCTTCCCACCACCTGGCTGGAAAGAGAAGAGCATGAAAGTGGATCTCCTTCTGGTTTTTATCATTTCAACTTTATAGGTTAATTGAGGTGCACTGGGTTGGAAACTGGATTGGAAAAATTCTGAAACCCTTGTGGGGAAGTGTTGCATACCCCACTTTCACTGTGGGGTTTGTTCTTCATTTATTCTGCCCTTCTCTGATTATCTCTGGGATTGACTGTTATGCACTGCTTTCCCCAGATTGTTTGTCATTGATAAGAGCAATGAGAGAAGCGGATGAGAGGGAGAAGAGGCAGCTCTGATATTTCTTCTGTACTGCTTTTCTGCTGCAAATTGCCTCCATCTCCAATGGGCAATCTTCCTGTATATCTGCAGCCTTCACTGGGCAATGCTCATCCCCCCACTGCTTCCCCCCCCCCATTGCCTTTTTATGCTTAAATGTGATAATAGCTGCCCCACATTTGCCATCTGAGTGCCTCAACATTTGTTAGTTCTTTTAACGCTGAGTGATCAGAGTTGAATGCAGTTTCCTGCCAGGACTCTGATAATCCACCTGTTGGAGGTAAAGCCTAGATTTTGCTCACCTGAGTATGTTGGAAAGTCAGGAGCACAGGTTTAGATAGATCAACTTTTCCCTCCGCACCAATGGAGCCACTTATCACTTGAGAGTTCAGGTTGACTTCCTTTATCCCTCTTCTATCACCGAAAAAGGATCCATTTAGAACATCCCCAAGAGATCGATAAGTGATAAGTGCCACTGCATTCCTATCTGAGAAAATGGAAGAAAAGTCAAGTTTTCTACGGTGTCTAGAGATTGGGGAATTGGTACATTAGTGTTCTGTGTGAGGGTTGTAAGGCAAATATTATATAAAGTCAAAATTGCACTTGGAAATCTTTTCCATCGCCCAATCAATACATTACATGTGACTTAAGGATTATTATTCTGTATATGTAATATATAGTCTAATGTATGACACATTATAAGGGATATATGTGCAAAATATTCTATCAATGTGTTGTAAATATTTATATATAAACATTAGACATCAAAAGGAGACTCATAAGGCAAGATGTTTATCTCCAGAAGGTGAAACTCAGGTGTGTGTGCGTGTGTGTGTGTGTGTGTGCGCACGCACATGTGCATGTGCACGTTCAGTCATGTCTAGTTCTCTGCAAGCCCATGGACTGTAACCCACTAGGCTCCTCTGTCCATGGGATTCTCTGGGCAAGAATACTAGAGTGAGTTACCATTTCCTTCTCCAGGGGATCTTTCTGACCCAGGGATCAAACCCCCATCTCTTACATCTCCTGCATTGGCAGGCAGGTTCTTTACCACTAGCACCACCTGGGAAGCCTGGAACTCATGTGGGATGAAGAAGTCAAATGTTTCTGAATAGATGATGACTCCCTCATATGCATTCCTGTACACTGTTTATGGTGGCCAAGGGACGGAGGCAACTTAGAGGTCCATCAACAAATGAGTGGATGGAGAAGATGTGGTGTGTCTGTCCAGTGGAATACTACTCAACTGTAAGATGAAATAAAGTTAGGGCATGGATGGACCTAGAGACTGTCATACAGAGCGAAGTGAGCCAGAAGGAGGAAAACAAATATTGTATATTAACACACATATGTGGACTCTGGTACAGATGATCTTATTTGCAAAAGAGACAAAGACACAGACCTAGACAACAAATGTATGGACACAAGGGGGGAAGTGGGGCACTGGATGCACAGCGAGATTGGGATCAACATATATCACTGTTGATGTGTGCGTGCTCAGTTGCTCAGTCTTGTCCAACTTGTGGCCCTATGAACTGTAGCCTGCCAGGCTCCTCTGTCCATGGAATTTTCCCGGCAAGAACACTGGAGTGGGTTGCCATTTCCTAATCCAGCATATTGTCCCAACCCAGGGGCTGGACCACACCTCTTGCATCTCCTGCAGTAGTGGGTGAATTCTTAACCACGGCAGCACCTGGGAAGCTCCATCCACTATCAATACTATATACAAAATGAATAACTAATGGGAACCTACTGTATAGCTAGGGAACTCTCCTCAATGCTCTGTGCTGACCTAAATGGGGAGGAAATCCAAAAAAGAGGGGATCTATATATACACATGACTGAGCCACTCTGCTGTATAGCGGAAACTAACACAACATTATAAAGCAACTATACTCCAATAAAAATTAATTAAAAAAAATAGTCCAAATAATTCCCATCTTCCATCTCAAGCTGACTCTTGGGTATCTAATTTAATGGAAAAGTATGCAGGATGGCCCATTCTATTTAATTTATTCTCTCATCCTTCCCTCACTCCCTCCTCCTACCTCCCTTTGTCAGCCTCTCTCTCTTTTTCTTTCTCTCGCTCTGTCTCCCTCCCACCCTCTTCCCTTCCCCTTTTCATGCTAGAAGAACTTAAGTCATAGAAGTTAAATGCACGTATGACACAGTTTCCTAAACTGCAATCATTCATGTGTTACCATCCCAGTTTTACCCCAAACCACTTAACCACCTGTATCACTATTTACTCGATCTAAAAAATCAATTGGACTTCTCTGGTGGTCCAGTGGATAAGAATCACCTGCCAATGCAGAGGAAATGGGTTTAATCCCCGGTCCTGGAAGATTACACATGCCGCAGAGCAACTAAGCCACAACCACTGAGCCTGTGTTCTAGAGCCTGTGAATCACAACCAGAAGCCCATGCATCCTATGGAGCCTGTGCTCCACAACAGGAGAAACCACCACAATGAGAAACACTGGGCACTGCAACTGGAGAAAGCCCGCAGGCAGTAACAAAGACCCAGCACGACCAAAAATAAATTAAAAAATAGATTTTAAAAAGGAGTGAATGGCTGAAAGAATAATAAAAATCAACTCATTTTTAGATGTCTTCCCCTCTCCCTCCTCTCTTCTACAGCTCACAGTAAACAGCGAAGATTAACCAGTAGCCAGGAATTTTCTGGAGGAACAAGTACTTCGCTCTCTCAAGGTAACTGGGTCTTTCTCTTTGACACACTTTTCAGGCATGCATGCATTCATTCATTCATCACATGTTTGCTGAGCATCTATCTACTGTGTACTGGACGGTGGTCCAGGCATTGCAGCACAACAGGGAACACAATGGGCAGAGTCCCTCCCATCGGGGAGACGATGTCCTGGGAGAGATAGACGACAAACAAATAAATAAACTGGAAAGGATTGCATGGTGTCGATGTGATGCAGAGACTTAAATAAAATGATAGAATAAAGCAGGGGTGTCAACTTATGGCCTGGGGTCAAATCCAGCCTACCACCTGTTTTTGTAAATAGAGTTTTATTGGCACACCGCCATGTCCCTTCATTTACATATCACCATGACTGCTTTCACACTACAGTGTCAAGAGTTGAGTAGATAAAACAAAAATCATCTGGCTCCCAAAACCAGAAATATTTATCCTCTTGTGTTCTTACAGAAAAAGTTTGCTGACTTATGGGCTAGCAGAAGACTGGGTGACTGTTTTAAGTAGAGAGATTATAAAATGCTTTTCAAGGGAAAGAGTGTTTGAGGCAACTCATGTGTCATCATCAAGAGTGAGCTTCCTTCTACACTACGTTTGTAGGGAATGTAAGTTGGTGCAGCCACTATGGAAAATGGTGTGGCAGTTCCTCAAAAAACCAATATATGATCCAACAATCCCACTCTTGGGCATATTTCCTGATAAAGCTATAATTCAAAAGGGTACATGTACCCCTATGTTCATGGCAGCAGTGTTCACAATAATCAAAGCACAGAAACAGCTTAAATGTCCATCAGCAGAGGAATAGGTAAAGATGTGGTGTGTATATACAATGGAATATTACTCAGCCAAAAAAAGGAATGAAATAATGTCATTTGCAGTTACTCAGATGGTCCTAGAGATAATCATACTAAGTGAAGTAAGTGAGAAAGAGACACAAATATGCCTATGATATCACTTACATGTGGAATCTAAAATATGGCACAAACGAACGTATCTACAAAACAGAAACAGACTCACAGACACAGAGAACAGATGAGGTTGCCGAAGGGGAGGGGGATGGAGGAGAGAAGGACTGGGAGTGTGGGATGAGCAAGTAGATATAAACTATTATATATAGAATGGGTAAGCAACAAGGTTCTACTGTTATAACACAGGGAACTATATTCTATATCCTGTGATAAACCATAATGGAAAAGAATATTAAAAAAAAAGAATGTGTGTGAACTGAGTCACTTCGCTTTATAGCAGAGACTGGCATGACATTGTAAATCAACTATGAAAGTGAAAGTCACTCAGTTGTGTCCAACTCTTTGCGACCCCATGGACTATAGAGTCCATGGAGTTCTCCAGGCCAGAATACTGGAGCAGATAGCCTTTCCCTTCTCCAGGGGATCTTCCCAACCCAGGGATTGAACCCAGGTCTCCTACATTGCACGTGGATTCTTTACAGCTGAGCCACCAGGGATGTCACTTAAAAAATAAAGTTTTTAAAAAAGAGTAAGCTTTTTGGATCAGCACATGAAACTGAGCATGCACCAGCCCATTCCTTTTAAGGAGATAAGTCAAGGAATCCCTGTTTGAACCTCCGTGTGTATCACAAAGTCCATACAAACTGTGTCCTCAAAATTGCCTGGTTAGTGGTCAAGGCAGATCTTTCAATTCTGCCAGAAGAGTCTTCGTACCTTGAATGCTTTGCAAGTTTGGCTCCATTACCTAGAAATGAGACAAGAGAGCCTAGAAGTTATAGGTCAAGGGTATAAGTCATCTTAGACACAGTACCTCTTGTGGTTCCTTTGAAAGCATTTGGGCAATCGATATCCATTGTGTTATTTCCAGCTTCTAGAACAGTCTTCTCACTTGTCTCATTGCACTCCTTGGTTTCATAAACTGGAAATATTAGGAAAGTGAGTCCTGCTTTGCTCAGTTCTCATGCCTAAAAAACTTGCTAATAACTCCCTTCTTTGACAGATCCATTACTAGTCACTTTATTTACTCCATGCAAAGTAGACCATTTGGTCCTCCCCTAACATTTCTGACTGGTGGAGATGAAATGCCAAAAGTATAGGCAACACATATGGGTCACACAACTCAGGGGAAGAGAGAGGACTGTCATGCTTACCAGAGCTGGAGCTAAAACAGGCAGGCTCAGCCTTTACCATAGAATATTTAAAGGGAAAAGTTTTCTTTAAACAATGTGTAATGGGGCACCTGGGGAAAGGAGAACTAATTTTTTTAAGCAAGGGAAGCTAAGCATTTAAAAGTATTCCAAGAAACAGAGTTTTCATTAAAAAGAAAAAAAAAACAACTAGAAACAGAGCTACCATATGATCTAGGAATTCTACTCCTGGGCATAGATCCAGAAAAAACAGACACTCTAATTTAAAAAGATCCATTCACCCCAGTGTTCACAGCAGGACTATGCATGATAGCCAAGATATGGTAGCAGCCTAAGTGCCCGTCAACAGATGATTGACTTAGGAAAATGTGGTACATATTGGAATATTACTCGGCCATTAAAAAGAATGAAATATTGCCATTTGCAGCAACGTGGATAGACCTAGAGAATATAATACTTAATAAAAATGTCATAGAAAGACAAATTCTATAGGTAACACTTACATGTGGAATCTAAAAAATAATACAAATCAGTGTATGTACAGAATAGAAACAGATTCACAGACATAGAAAACAAATGTATGGTTACCAAAGGGGAGAGGCATAAACTGGGATTATGGGATTAACAGGTACAGACTACAATATATAAAATAGATAAGCAACAGAGATTTACTGACTAGCACACGAAATTATACCCAATATCTCATAATAATCTGCAATGGAATGTAATCTGCAAAAGTACTGAATCATTATGCTATACATGCATGTGTGCTTGCTAAGTCAATTCAGTCATGTCTGACTCTTTGCAACCCCATGGATTGAAGTCAGGCTCCTCTGTTCATGGGATTCTCCAGGCAAGAACAATGGAGTGGGTTGCCATGCCCTCTTCGAGGGACTCCTCCCAACTCAGGAGTTGAACCCATATCTGTCATGTCTCCCGCATTAGCAGATGGGTTCTTTACCATTAGTGCCACCTGGGAAGCCCTACTATGCTATATACCTGAAACTAACACAATAATATAAATCAACTATAATTCAATTTTTAAAAATTTAGCAAGAAAAAATAAAAATTTTCCAAAGGAATAGTCACCTGGGAGTGACCTTCTGCATTTGGGAAAAATCACTTAAGTGAACTCTGTTCATGATATGTGAACATATTAACACAAGGTCTGATGAAAGATGAATTTCATAAAATTGTCTGGTCTTAAAACTAATGCTTAGTGTTTCTTACCTATGTCAAGTACAGAATCTTCATGCTTTCCTGGAGAAACAAAACTCTTGCTCCATATGGTCAATTCTACACGTTGAAGTAGTTCGGTCGCCTGTTTCGCAATGTCCTTTTTGCTTCCATTGTTCCTCAGCATTTCCTTTCAAAGAAATAAAAACTAATTAGGTAGATGGTTATTGAAACTTTGAAAAGCAGGAATATACATAAGTGTGGTTGAGTGAGCCAGCCTCTTGATGAGAGTGAAGGAGGAGAGTGGAAAAGCTGGCTTAAAACTCAATATTAAAAAAAAACTAAGATCATGTCCTCCAGTCCCATCACTTAATGGCAAACAGAAGGGCAAGTGACAGATTCCTTTTCTTGTGCTCTAAAACCACTGCTGATGGTCACTGCAGCCATGAAATTAGAAGACGATTGCATCTTGGCAGGAAAGCTATGACAAACTTGGCAGTATGTTAAAAAGCAAAGACATCACTTTGCTGACAAATGTCCATATAGTCAAGACTATGCATGGTCTTTCCAGTAGTCATGCACAGATGTGAAAGCTGGACCATAAAGAAGGCAAAGCACCGAAGAGTTGATACTTTCGAACTGTGTTACTGGAGAAGATTCTTGAGAGTCTTTTGGACAGCAAGGAGATCAAACCAGTCAATCTTAAAGGAAGTCAACCCTGATTGTTCATTGGAAGGCCACTTGATGCAAAGAGCCAACTCATTGGAAAAGACTCTGATGCTGGGAAAGATTGAGGGCAAAAGGAGAAGGGGCAACAGAGGATGAGATGGTTAGATAACATCACTGACTCAACAAACATGAATTTGAGCAAACTCCAGGAGTTAGTGCAGGACAGGAGAGCCCAGCACGCTGCAGTCCATGGGGCTGTAAAGAGTCAGACATGACTTGGCGACTGAACAATAACAACAGAAGTCATAGAGAGCCATGATAGTATTTGAGCAGGAGAAAGGCATGGTAAGACTGACTGCTTTTCAAACCTAGGCTACGCGTTACTTACCCAAATGTCCCCTGGTACCTGTGTCTCATTTCTGGCATCCTCTGAGAAAGAAAATTAACAGTCAAATGAAAGGTGGGAAATAACACACTCTAACATAGATCTTTCTTCCAATCACATCCAAGTTGAGTGTTTCCTTCTGTACCCAAATACCATCCTAATTTCATTCTAAGAATTCCCAAATCTCTTCTACAGTAGAATTTTCAAAGGGAATTAGGATGGGGTTTCTCATTCAAAAATTCAGTCAGTAGTATTTATGGAGCACCTACTAAGAGGGAGGCTAAATCTTATAAACATAGGTGAATAAAGAGACAGATGCCATGATCTTTCACTGTTGATGGGAATGTGAACTGATATAGCCACTATGGAGAACATAATGGGAGGTTCTTTAAAAAGCTAAAAATAGAACTACCACATGACCCAGCAATCCCATCCTTGAGCACAGATCCTAAGAAAACCATAATTCAAAAAGACATAAGTACCCCAATGTTCACTGCAGCTGTGTTTATGATAGCTAGAACATGGAAGCAACCTAGATGTACATCGACAGATGAATGGATAAAAAAGTTGTGGTACATACACACAATGGAATATTGCTCAGCCATAAAAAGGAACGCATTTGAGTCAGTTCTAATGAGGTGGGTGAACCTAGAACCTATTATACAGAGTGAAGTAAGTCAGAAAGAGAAAAATAGTATTGTATTCTAATGCATATATATGGAATCTAGAAAAATGGTACTGAAGAATTTATTTACAGGGCAACGATGGAGAATCAGACATAGAGAACAGACATGGGGAATGGGGAGGAGAGGGTGAGATGTATGGGAAGAGTAACATGGAGACGTACATTACCATATGTAAAATAGACAGCCAAGGGGAATTTACTGTGCGGCTCAGGAAACTCAAACAGGGGCTCTGTATCAACCTAGAGGGGTGGGATGGGGAGGGAGACGGGAGGGGGTTTCAAAAGGGAAGGGATGTATGTGTACCTATGGCTGATTCATGCTGAGATTTGACAGAAAACAACACAATTCTGTAAAGCAATTATTCTTCAATTAAAACAAAATAAATTTTAAAAAAACAAGCAAAAAACCTCAAAAAAGAATCTGTTGAAAATCAAAGACAAAGAGAAAAAAAGATTATATTCAAATGAAAACCAATTAGACTGATAGCTAACATCTCATCAGAAACAATGGAATCTAGAAAACAATGATTTCTTTAAAGTGAACAAAAATAGCTAAGAATTAAGATAAAAACATTTTCAGATAAAACATAAAGTTTAAATATTAAATAATAATAAATAAGTAGAAGAAACAAACAAACGAAAGGAATGAAATTGGGTCATTTGTAGAGACATGGGTGGACCTAAAGTCTGTCATACAGAGTAAAGTAAGTCAGGAAGAGAAAAACAAATACTGTATATTAACACATTTATGTGGAATCTAGAAAAATTTGTGGATGAGTCTGTTTGCAGGGCAGAAACAGAGAACAGACATGTGAACACGGAAGGGGTAGAGGGAATGAGATGAGCTGGGAGACTGGGACTGGCCTAAACACACTACCATGTGTCAAACGGACAGCTAGTGGGAACCTGCAGTGTAGGGCAGGGAGCTCAGCCCAGTGCTCTGTGATAACTCGGACGGCGGGATGGAGGGGGTGGGAGGAAGGAGGTATGTGTATACACAGGGCTGATTCGCTTCATTGTGCAGCAGATACTAACACAGCATGGTAAAGCAACTATACTCCAGTTTTTTAAAAAGAGAGACAAAATATGTTCCCTTGCAGAGTCTGCAGCCTATGGCAAAGTTTCCAAGCAAATAATTGAGTGATTATAAGAGTCCAACATATTAATACATAGGATGAGACGACTTGGCAGTATACAGAAAAAGGCCATGTTTGGGGTGTGGAAAACCCTTCCCAAAGAAACTGGTGTTAATTGAGATAATAACAATCAGTTGTTGTCTACCTAGCATCGTATTTTTTTTTCTCTAGCATCGTATTTTAAGTGACACTGGCCACCTGATGTGAAATGCTGACTCCCTGGAAAAGACCCTGATGCTGGGAAAGATTGAAGGCAGGAGGAGAAGGGGATGACAGAGGATGAGATGGTTGGATGGCATCATCGACTCAATGGACATAAGTTTCAGCAAACTCAGGCATATAGTGAAGGACAGGGAAGTCTGGTGTGCTGCAGTCCATGGGGTCGCAGAGTTGGATATGACTGAACAACAACAACAAAAGCGTCTACTTGGAGGTGGTGACTGTTGCCATGGGCTTGAGTGAAATCTCCCAGGAAACGGTTACCAAGGACAACAATGGATTGAAGAGTGAGGACCAGGACAGATAGCTACCCTGTTACCCTAGTCTGAAACTGGTGAAACTCTCAAGGGATCTTCTCCTGCCTCCTTTTCTATGGTGGAGTATTTGATTACTGGAGTATTTGGAGATTCTTACCATAACATTCTGCATGATTCAATGTAAAGATACTAGCCACCCAGTTTAAGACAGGATAATGTGGGATACAGCTGCAGTAGTAATTTCCAATTCCATTTCTGCAATATGCTTTCTGCTTGCACTTTGCCCGCCCAGTCACACACTCATCAATATCTGTGAATCAAGAGAAAATATTATTAGAAAATATCACTTTTTATTCTCAAAAAACCATATTGTTTTCCCTTGCCCATGAGATCTCTACTACCCAACATCACTTATAAATGTACCCAGAACATCTGTCCTTGGTTAAGATGATTCAATATAGAGATGACAATTCTCCTGAAGTTACCTTATAAAGCCAAAGTAATTTCTAGGATACACTGTTGAGTGAAATAAAGTTCAGAAGGCCTTGTCTGATATCCTATCAAAAGGATCAAGATCACAGAAGACAAGGAAGGATTAAGAATCTCTCACAGATTAGATGAGGCAGGACTGAGATGACTAAATGCAATGTGAGACCCTGAAATGGCTCTTAGAACAGGAAAAAAAGGGGGGTGGATTTTAGGGGGAGAACTGGTAAAATCTGCATGAAGTCTCTAGTCCAGTTGATATTATTGTACCAATATTCATCCTCTGATTTTGCTCACTGTATGAAGGTTGTCATATCATTGGCTGACCTTCGAGAACTGAGGAGAAGCTCTACAGAACTCATTGCACTGTTTTGCAGTTTTTCTTTAAGTCTCAAACTGTTTCAAAATACAACGTCTAAAAAAATACATCCAATATTATATGATTCCAAGATAGAAAGTAGAATGGTGGCTGCCAGGGGCTAGGGGGAGAGAAGAGGGAAGTTAGTGTTTAACGGGGAAGAGTTTCAGTTTTGCAAGATGAAAAATGTTCTGTAGATGAATGGCAGCAATGGTTTCACAACAGTGTCAATGTACTAAATAACAGTGAAGTACAATAACAAAGTAGTCAGTGAATAACAGTGAATAACAATAACAATGATTAAAATGTTGAATTGCATTATACGTAGTTTACTATAATTGAAAAAAAACAATTTAAATAAATAAATACATTATCATATGATTCCACTTATAGGAGGGCCCTAAAGGAGTCAAATTAACAGAGATAGAAAGTAGGATGGTGGTTGCCAAGGGCTGGGGGAGGAGAAGGAATGGGAATTTAGCATTTAATGGGTACAAGGTTTCCATTTGAGATGATTAGAAAGTTCTGTGGTTGGATGGTAGAGTTGGTTGCACAATAATGTGAATGTATTAAACACCACTGAAAGATACACCTGGCTTCCCAAGTGGCTCAGTGGTGAAGAATCTGCCTGCCTACGCAGGAGACAGGAGAGGAAATGGCAACACACTCCAACATTCTTGCCTGGGAAATCCCACGGACAGAAGAGCCTGATGGGCTACAGTCCATGGGGTCTCAAAGAGTTGGACACGACTGAGCTGGACACGACTGAGTGACATGGTAAATTGTAATTTATATATTTTGCCACAGTAAAATGAAGTTTAAAAGGAATAAATGCGTCTTAAATAGTCTACTATTTTCTGTTTTACCTAATGACTTGACACGACACCACCACCAAACAGTTAACCAGTCCCAGCAATTAGGATTCAGGAGTGGTATTGCCCTTGGCATTTAGATTGACCTTTAGAATTTGTAGAAATTAAAGAGATTTGGCCAGAGCTGATGAGAGTAGTGAAAAGTGACACTGAAAAGCTAAGTTGGGACCACATCACAGAAAATGCTGAGTGATGAGAGAGTTTATTCATTTGTTCCTTTGGGGAACACTTATTAGTTGGGCATCTGCCATGTGATATTGTTCTTTTTCCTATGCATTGAGTGATAAACAAAAGAGATTCTGCCCTTGTGGAATCCTCAGAACCACCGCCCCCACCCCCCCACCAAAAAAAAACCCACCAATCACCAGTGCTTGAGACTTTAAGAGTCCAGGGTCCTGAGAACTCCACTTTTCTCTGAAGAAAAACCAAGCCAATATCAGGGCTCACTAAGCCTGCATTATGATGCACATGAGAAGAAGGCAAGGGCTGGGGACTTCTGTAGGGATGTGGAGGCAGTCCTGATACTTTCCACTTTGTAATATCATTGTACCATTGCAGTGCCAGCACCACTACATGACACAGTATTTGAGACTAAGAAGGTTGCCCCTGGTCCCTTTCAAATGCCAAGATGAATGCAGACTTCTTCTTTACCTTCACATTTCTGAGAGGACCCCTGAGACACGGACTGAAATCCATCTTTGCAAACGCAGGTGCCATTTTTGAGGCAGTTAGCATTTTCTGGGCATGGAGGACAGGAAACTGCAAGGAACATAGAATCCATTCATTCATTTGTTTGTTCATTTCATTTAAGAAATACTCATTGAGCACCTATGATGCACCAGATGCTGCAGTCGCAAGAACCTCCTCCTGGGAATAGCTTATTGGCATCCTTTTGGAATTCATCCTACTGTTGAACATAGATTCTCACCATGCCCCACCCATTCCCCACCTCTGCCACCAATACCACTTTTGCTTGTCAGTAGAGCTTCCAGATTTCAGCACCTGTGTTTCCTTACTGAGGGCTTCCTCTGGCCACTAACATCCTTTTTGAGTACCACATACTGGTTCTCAAGGTCTTCTTCCCCAAGGAGTAGTTTCCTCAAACAGTGATGGACTGACTGAGTCAGTGATTTAAAAATAAATCAGCTTCTCATTCTAGATATGAATCAGCTAACCAGAATAATTAACAACAAGAACTGCAATAATAAAGCTGTTTTTTGCTACATGTATTGGGGGCTGGTGGTGCCAGAGAAGACTCTTGAGAGTCTCTGCGACAGCAAGGAGATCAAACCAGTGAATCCTAAAGGAAATCAACCCTGAATATTAACTGGAAGAACTGATGCTGAAGCTGAAGCTCCAATCCATTGGCCACCTGATGTGAAGAGTTGAGTCATTAGAAAAGACCCTGATGCTGGGAAAGATTGAGGGCAGGAGGAGAAGGAGTTGAGAGAGGATGAGATGGTTGGATGGCATCACTGACTCAATGCACATGAGTTTGAGCAACTTCTGGGAGATGGTGAAGGACAGGAAAGCCTGGTGTGCTGCAGTCCATGGGGTTACAAAGAGTCAGACATGATTTAGTGACGGAAAAACAACAATGGAGGGCTGGAAAACAGGAAACACGAGGAGGATAACCAACAAGCGAATAGTGTAGAAAAGCGAGGTTCATGTATGCAACTACTAAAACAAACCAAGGTGTCTTTTTTTCTCATTGAAGTATGAAGTGTTTGCAATGATAGTGAAGGACAAAGAAGCCTGGTGTGCTGCGGTCCTTGGGATCGCAGAGTAGGATATGACTGAGCAGCTGAACAATAGCATCACACTCACCTCCAGCCTTCTTTGCTTTCAATCCTGACAGAGCCAGGAGGACACTGAGACCTAGAAGAATGAGGACAGAGATAAAGCAGATGAGAGATGCCCTGAGGCTCCACCTGGCTGAGGCCTCAGTGAGTCGGGGGGCTTTGTCTCCTCTTGTCAAGTCATACGTGTGCTAGCTTCACTGTAGATTCTTCTAGACTGGCTATAAACACTAGTGTCACAGAAGGGCATCATACAGTACTGATTACAGCTATCAGAGACTCTACACCTAAGTCCAATGTGTGTGGGGGATGATGGGAGCTCCCTCAGCAATAAGCAATCCTTTGACACCAGCTGGGTATCCTATAATTATTTTTTCCCCAATTATTTTTATTAGTTGGAGGCTAATTACTTTACAATATTGTAGTGGTTTTTGCCATACATTGACATGAACCAGCCATGGATTTACATGTGTTCCCCATCCCGATCCCCCCCTCCCGCCTCCCTCCCCATCCCATCCCTCTGGGTCATCCCAGTGCACCAGCCCTGAGCACTTGTCTCATGCATCCAGCCTGGACTGGTGATCTGTTTCACACTTGATAATATACATGCTTTGATGCTGTTCTCTCAGATCATCCCACCCTCGCCTTCTCCCATAGAGTCCAAAAGTCTGTTCTGTACATCTGAGTCTCTTTTTCTGTCTTGCATATAGGGTTATTGTTACCATCTTTCTAAATTCCATATATATGTGTTAGTATACTGTATTGGTGTTTTTCTTTCTGGTTTACTTCACTCTGTATAATGGGCTCCAGTTTCACCCACCTCATTAGAACTGATTCAAATGAATTCATTTTAATGGCTGAGTAATATTCCATGGTGTATATGTACCACAGCTTCCTTATCCATTTGTCTGCTGATGGGCATCTAGGTTGCTTCCATGTCCTGGCTATTACAAACAGTGCTGCGATGAACATTGGGGTGCACGTGTTTCTTTCAGATCTGGTTTCCTCGGTGTGTATGCCCAGGAGTGGGATTGCTGGGTCATGTGGCAGTTCTATTTCCAGTTTTTTAAGGAATCTCTACACTGTTCTCCATAGTGGCTGTACTAGTTTTCATTCCCACCAATAGTGTAAGAGGGTTCCCTTTTCTCCACACCCTCTCCAACATTTATTGCTTGTAGACATTTGGATAGCAACCATTCTGACTGGCGTGTAATGGTATCTCATTGAGGTTTTGATTTGCATTTCTCTGGGTATCCTATAATTAAACTCAGTTATTTTTTTCTCTTTTTCCCTCTTATTCTTTTTTAGATTTTTTTCTCTTATAGATCATTACAGAGTGTTGAGAAGAGTTTCCTGTGCTATAAAATAGATCCTTGTGCTATGCTAAATTGCTTCAGTCGTGTCCAACTCTTTGCGACCTTGTGGACCCACCAGGCTCCTCAGCCCATGGGATTCTCCAGGCAAGAATACTGGAGTGGGTTGCCATGCCCTCCTCCAAGGGATTTTCCCTACCCAGGGATCAAACCCATGTCTTTTATGTCTCCTGCATTAGCAGGTGGATTCTTTACCTCTAATGCTACCTGGGAAGCCTAAAATAGATCCTTGTTAGTTATCTATTTTTTATTTTTGTAATGCAGCATGGCACGTGGGATCTTAAGTTCTCCAACCAAAGATCAGACCTGTGCTCCCTGAAGCAGAAGTGCAGAGCCCTAACCACTGGGATAGGGAATTCCTCTATCTATTTTATATAGAGTAGTGTGTATATGTCAATCCCAACCTCCAAATCTGTCCCTCTCAACTCAGTTCTGACACTAACTCCCCTGGAAGAGCATCAGATATCCCAGGTTAAGGGCTCAGTCCCAAAGACTTCAGATGCCCATCACAATTTCAAGTTGTCCCCTGGGCTTCTGACCAACTGGCTATGGATTGGATATTCCAATGACTCCCTCTTTGGATTCAATTAATTTGCTAGAGCAGCTCACAGAACTCAGAGAAACCATTTACTTACTGGATTACCAGTTTATTGTAGAAGGATATTGGGCACCCCATGTGGCACTGGTGGTAAAGAACCTGCCTGCCAATGCAGGGGACATAAGAGACGCGGGTTTCCCTGGGTTGGAAAGATTCCCGGGACAGCATGGAAACCCACTCCAGTATTCTCGCCTGGAGAATTCCGTGGACAGAAGAATCTGGCGGGCTACAGTCCATCGGGCCACAGTCGGACATGACTGAAATGACTTGGCACACACGCATAGAAGAATATGTCTCAGAAAGAGCCAATGGAAGGCACACACTTGGCAAGGTATGAGGAAGGGGGTGGGGATTCCGTGCCCCCTCCAGGCACTACTTTCCTCAAATCTCCGTGTGTTCACCAACCCAGAAGCTCTCGGAATCCCATCGTTTTGGGGCTTTTGTAGACACTTCATTGGGCATCCCTGGTGGATCAGTGGTCAAGAATCTACCTGCCAATGCACAGGATGTAGGGTCCATCTCTGGTCCGGGAAGATCCCACATGCCATGGGGCAACCAAGCCAGTGTGCCGCAACTACTGAAGCCGGTGCACCCTAGAGCCAGCACTCCACAGCAAGAGAAGCCCCCGTAATGAGAAGCCTGTGCACCACAATCAGAAAGTAGTCTGCAAGCAGTGACGAAGATCCAGCACAGCTAAAAAAAACACCAAACCCTCAAGCCTCTGCATTTTCCTTGTGAGTGCCTTTCTGACACATAAAGAAGAAATACGACCATAGGGCAGGGGTCAGAAAACTGTGGCCTTGGGCCAAATGCAGACCCCTGCCTGGTTTTTGTGCAGCCCATGAGCTAAGAATTGTTTTTAGTGGTTTTTAAATATATATATTTTTTAATCAAGGAGAATATAGTGCATGCATGAAATGTGAAAATTACCTGAAATTCCCATTCCTATGTCTATAAATCAAGCTTTATTAGAACACAGCAGTGCCCATCCATTCAGGAAAGGTCGGTGGCTGCTTTTATTTATTTATTTATTTACTTTTTTGTGGGGGGGTTTCCAATGCAGTTTTGTGAAAACCCCACTAGAAAAATTCCAAAAGATCTGTCCCACTCTGTGGCTGCTTTTACAAAGCAACAAGCAGAGTTGAGACATTAAGACAGAGATCCAAATGGCCCACAAAGCTGAGAATAGTGACTACCTGGATCTTTACAGAAAGAAAAAATAAGTTCACTTCTGTCATAAACTAATGGCCATCACGTGCTTGCCTCTAAGAACTGCTTACAAACGGCCTAGGCTTAAACTGTGGTTGATTCCTCCAGTGGTATTTTTTATTATCTTGAAGTCCCTAAAGCCCAGAGCAGACAGGTGGGTAGGTTCCAGTTACTATAATATACTAAGCGATGGTCCTCCAGGTTTGGACCCGCATAGTGGTCAGTCAGCATGTTAGATGCTTGCCATGTCCCCCAAGCCTACCCAGAAAGGGGTTGCGCAGAAAGCAGATAACTTGCAGTGAAAGTGAAAGTGAAGTCGCTCAGTCGTGTCCGACTCTGACACCCCATGGGCTGTAGCCCACCAGGCTCCTCAGTCCATGGAGTTTTCCAGGCAAGAGTACTGGAGTGGGTTGCCATTTCCTTCTCCAGGGGATCTTCCCAACCCAGGGATCGAACCCAGGTCTCCCACATTGTAGGCAGACGCTTTACCATCTGAGCCACCAGGGAAACTTCCTGTATCTTTCTGTAAAAGGGTGTTTTTCTGCAGCCCGTGAAGGGCATCAAGAAGCACGGGAGGAGGACTGGAAGATACACAGCCCAGATTCTTTGCCCTTCTAAGGCACATTTTGCGCTGAAAGGTTACCCAGAAGGACTGGAGTACCAGTTACCCACAGTGCTAACCCCTCACCGTCACTCTTCTCTCTTCCCTCTTTGGCTTCCCTTCCCAAAGGACCCTAAAGCCTTCCTGGGATTCCTTCCCAAACGTGCATTTGTGCTCATTCGCTTCAGCTGTGTCTGATTCTTTGGGACCCTGTGAACCGTGGCCCACCAGGATCCTCCGTCCATGAGATTCTCCAGGCAAGAATACTGGAATGGGTTGCCATGCCCTTCTCCAGGGGATCTTCCCCACCGAGTGCTCGAACCCACATCTCCTATGTCTCCTGCATTGGCAGGCATGTTCTTTGCCACTAGCACCATCTGGGAAGCCTAAATTAATTAAACCCAAGTTTTTGTCTCAGTTCTGCTTTGGAGGAGAGCAACTAAGAGACTCGGTATCAGACTTTGGAGTAGGACACACACACACAGGAATTTCTGGAGAAAGTGCCAAATTCTGGAAAGCAACCAAAGCTGGGCTATCCATGGTACTGGAGGGTGGGGAGAATGCTTTGTTCTACTCACCAGAGAGTAGCAACAGGCACCTGCTTCCCATAGCAGTCGAGGTTCCAGGAACGATAACCTTAGACGCACTCCCAAGCAGGATGTGACAAGGGTTCCTGGGATAAATAAGCCCCATGAGGATTTATTTTGGATGGTCACAAAATTTAGGAGGCAGGTGGTTTGTTGTTTATCAAAACCCTTTCATTTCTACCTGTCTTTTGACTCAACAACTTCAATTCTGGGAAATAAGCAAGGTTTTACAAGGATGATTATAGCATAATGGCTTCTAGAAGCAAGGTTAGTAGTAATAGTCATCATCACTCAGTCCTATTAGACTCTTTGCCACGCTATGGACTGTAGCCCCCAGGCTCCTCTGTCCATGGGATTCTCCAGGCAAGAACACTGGAGTGGAGTGGGTTGCCATGCCTTCAGGAGATCTTCCCAACCCAGGGGTCAAACCTGTATTTCTTAAGTCTCTTGCACTAGCAGGGAGGTTCTTTATCACTAATGCCACTTGGGAAGCCCAAACCCCCTTGTTGCCTAGGTCTAAACTCGGAATATAAATAAATGAGGCCATTTGGGGATCTGGAGGGAATAATTAGAACTCTGGAGATCTGGAGACCATGGACTTTACCTCGAGACATTCTGTATGTTGGCATGTGCCAGGAGTTACACTTTGTTACTTCCTGATCCTTTCCCTTCTCTCAACATTCATTTCCCTTTTTTGACTATACTTCCCTTCCAAAAGCCTACCCTGAGATAAACTATAGAAACTCTCAGTGTAGAGAAACCCAGTCTAGTTAGTGGCTATTCTTTTTTTTAAAGACTCTTTCGAAACCAGTTTAACTGAAGTGAATATCGTATGTGAAAAGGGTGATATTTTTTGGAAGAGCTGAGACCTCTAGCAATGTTGATTTCTTTTTTTTTAACCACTTTACTGAGGGATGGTCATCATGTAAAAAGCATGCAAAAGTACATATTTTATGTATATAACTTGATAAGTTTAGAAATAAATATATACATATGAAACTATCACTACCATCAAGGACATAAACATATCCATCATATCTGAAATTTATCCTCCTGCCCTCTTCATGATTTGAGCATGTGTGTGTGTGTGTGTGTGAATAACACTTAACATAAGATCTACCCTCTTAGAAAATTTTAAGTATACAATACAATATCATTAGCTATAGACACTAAGCTGTCACCGGAGTTTTTCGTCTTGTGTAATTAAAACTTTATACCCTATGACCTTCCCCTCCCATCTTCTTCCCTCCCCTGGAAAACATCATTCTAGTCTCTGCTTCTAAGCATTTGACTACCATAGTTTCTACATCTAAGTGAGATCATACCGTATTTGTTCTTTGGGTCTGTTTATTTCACATATCTAGCAACATTGATTTAGAGAGTTTTTTTTTTTTTTTTCTGGTGACCACATTTTTATTTATTTATTTATTTGATGTATCTACTTTTTATCATTATTTTTTCATTTATTTTTATTAGTTGGAGGCTAATTACTTTACAATATTGTAGTGGTTTTTGTCATACATTGACATGAATCAGCCATGGATATACATGTGTTCCCCATCCCGATTCCCCCTCCCACCTCCCTCTCCGCCCGATCCCTCTGGGTCTTCCCAGTGCACCAGGTCCGAGCACTTGTCTCATGCATCCAACCTGGGCTGGTGATCTGTTTCACCCTAGATAATATACATGTTTCGATGCTGTTCTCTTGAAACATCCCACCCTCCCCTTCTCCCACAGAGTCCAAAAGTCTGTTCTATACGTCTGTGTCTCTTTCTCTGTTTTGCATATAGGGTTATCGTTACCATCTTTCTAAATTCCATATATATGTGTTAGTATACTGTAATGGTCTTTAGAGAGTTTTTTTTTTTAAAAAAAGACCTATTATAAAAAATACATTTTACTTCACAAAGATAGACAGAAAAATGAACCAAGTTTCACAAAGCAGTATTTGCTTCAGACTCGGTTCATTGAAACTTTCTTATTTTAGTTCTTCTTAAGCCCCTCAACACACAATTCATGATTTCTTTTGAGTATTTGAAAACATTCTACTGTGTTCTATACATACTAAACTGAAATGGGGAAATAAATATGAAACAATGTCCCTAGAGCAACTTTCAAGAGATAAAGCATGGCAGAAACCAGTACAATATTGTAAAGCAATTATTCTCCAATTAAAAATAAATAAATTTTAAAATAAATTTAAGTTTAAAAATAAAGCAACAGGACATCTAACGAGCTATCCTTTAAAATCTTTCCAGAGCCAGTGTATTATTTTAAGACCCAAGATCACAAGCAAAGCACATTCTATTTTCCATGGAAAAAACACAAAACCAGTTCCTCCTTACCCACAAGACGAAAGTCCTCGCTGGTCACCCAGTCTGGCAGCTTCTCCGAGCTAACAGCAACCAAAACAGGAAGTTATCTCTTCTTATCTTGAGCTTTAGTTTCTCAAGGAGTCTTGTGGCTAGATGAGATGACTACGGGCATTGATAGTGAGGTGGTAACGTGCAGGAAGGCCAAGGCCCCGCAAATGGAGGAAATAGGCTGCAGGAGCCAGACATTTTTTATCTTTCTCTTAAGTGGCAGAAATGCAAAAAGGCAAAATGGTTGTCTGAGGAGGCCTTGCGAATAGCTGAGGAAAGAAGAGAAACTAAAGGCAAAGGAGACAAGGAAAGATATGCCCATTTGAATGCAAAATTCCAAAGAATAGCAAGGAGAGATAAGAAAACCTTCCTCAGTAATCAATGGAAAGAAATAGAGAAAAACAATAGAATGGGAAAGATTAGAGATCTCCTCAAGAAAATTAGAGATACCAAGGGAAAATTTCATGCAAATATGAGCACAATAAAGGACAGAAATAGTATGGACTTAATAGAAGCAGAAGAAATTAAGAGGAGGTGGCAATAATACACAGAGGAATGATACAGAAAAAATCTTCGTGACCCAGATAACCACAATGGTGTGGTCACTCACCTAGAGCCAGACATCCTAAAATTCCAAGTCAAGTGGGCCTTAGGAAGCATCGCTATGGACAAAGCTAGTGGGGATGATGGAATTCCAGTTGAGCTATTTCAAATCCTAAAAAATGATGCTGTGAAAGTGCTGCATTCAATATGCCTACAAATTTGGTAAACTCATCAGTGGCCACAGGAATGGAAAAGGCCAGTTTTCATTCCAATCCCAGAGAAAGGCAATGCCAAAGAATGTTCAAACTACCTCACAATTGTATTCATCTCACAAGCTAGCAAAGTAATGCTCAAAATTCTTCAAGCCAGGTTTCAACAGTACATGAACCATGAATTTCCAGATGTTCAAGCTGGATTTAGAAAAGGCAGAGGAACCAGAGATCAAATTGCCAACATCTGTTGGATCATCAAAAAGCAAGAGAATACCAGAAAAACATCTACTTCTGCTTTATTGATTACGCCAAAGACTTTGACTGTGTAGATCACAACAAGTTGTGGAAAATTCTGAAAGAGATGGGAATACCAGACCACCTAACCTGCCTCCTGAGAAATCTGAATGCAGGTCAAGAAGCAATAGTTAGAACTAGACATGGAATAACAGACTGAATCCAAATTGGAAAAGAAGTACGTCAAGCCTGTATATTGTCACCCTGCCTATTTAACTTCTATGTAGAGTACATCAAGCCAAATGCTAGGCTGTATGAAGCACAAGCTGGAATCAAGATTGCCAGGAGAAATACCAATAACCTGAGATATGCAGATGACACCACCCTGATGGCAGAAAGCAAAGAAGAACTAGAGAGTCTCTCGATCAAAGTGAGAGGAGAGTGAAAAAGCTGGTTTAAAACTCAGAATTCAAAAAACAAAGATCATGGCATCTTGTCCCATCACTTCATGGCAAATAGACAGCGAAACAATGGAAACAGTGACAGACTTTATTTTCTTGGTTTCCAAAATCACTGCAGACAGTGACTACAGCCATGAAATTAAAAGACACCTGCTCCTTGGAATAAAAGCCATGACAGACCTAGACAGCATGTTAAAAAGCAGAGACATTACTTTGCTGACAAAGGTCCATCTAGTCAAAGCTATGGTTTTTCCAGTAGTCATGTGTGGATGTGAGAGTTGGACTATAAAGAAAGCTGAGCACTGAAGAATTGATGCTTTTGAACTGTGGTGTTGGACAAAACTCTTGAGAGTCCCTTGGACTGCAAGGAGATCAAACCAGTCCATCCTAAAGGAAATCAGTCGTGAATATTCACTGGAAGGCCAATACTTTGGCCACCTGACTGAACTGACTCCTTGGAAAAGACCCTGATGCTGGGAAGGATTGAAGGCAGAGGAGAAGGGGACAACAGAGGATGAGATAGTTGGATGACATCACTGATTTGATGGACATGAGTCTGAGCAAGCTCCAGGAGTTGGTGATGGACAGGGAAGCCTGGCATGCTGCAGTCTATTGGGTCTCAAAGAATCAGACACGACTGAGTTACTGAACTGAATTGAACTAAGCAGCAGGAGGACAAGAGTCAGATTTTTTTCCCTTTTCTACACAAAATTAAAAGGAGGTTTCTTTTAAAATTCTGTGTTGCCATGACAACACCTGGTTACACCTAAGCTTAACTTTTCTCAAACCTTGGGCTAACCAATGCATATTTCTTATGGAAATGCTTTTCTTAAGCTATGTTAATGAACTATGTATTTACCTTAGACCCTGTCTTTCTTCAAGTCAGTTCTGCCCAAGACTCAGAACTGACTTGACAAATCAGTATGTTTTACTCAACAAACCAGTATGTTTTACTCATGCTAATATTCTCTTAAGCTATATTAATGAGACTATGTATTTGCTTAGAAATCTGCCTTTCTTCAAGATTCATGTCAATCGTTTTATTGCCCGAGATGACTCGCCTTGTGCCAATGTTATCTTAAAATGCATGTTGTGGATGAGGGGCCTGGGGCCACTCTCTGAGTTATGAGACATTTCCTTTCTCTAATTAGTAGCCTGCTAGTAGGTATATAGCTTCCTGCTAAAGACTAGCAGGGGGACACTCATTCT